GATGGGAATTAAAAACAACTACATCTAACAAAATTAGATGAAAATTAAATAAAATGGAAAGCACTCCACAAGGTCTGACAATAAATATTATCTATCATTACTAATAGTTAACTTGCTCTGGATCACATAGAAACTCTGAAGTTCTGAATTCTAAACTAGCTACATCAAAGGGTGGGTCTTAAAGCTAAAGCAGGCCTGGGAGAGAGGCACACTCCCAGGTGAAGATCAGTATGGCGCCAAATGCAAGAATGAAAATGCATATCAGAGTGAAAGAATGCATGAATGAGTGTGAGTAAAACAGAATTGCCTTGGCAAAGGAACTTTTGTCTTTATAAACCCCAATTCCAGTGTGGAGGACTAGAGTGTAGACCTTTCAATCTTCCAGCTTTACCCTAAGAAAACAAACCCATCCGAGACCACCAGGGGCCTTTCTGCCAACCCTCAAGGCCTCCAGGAGTGAAGAGCAGCCCACTGTGCACATCCTTGGGCCACCCTTTCTTTCTTTGTGCCAAGTCCCCAGGCTCGTGCTAAGCAGCAGCTGGCTGTCACCATGGCAATAGCTGGGGCCACGCTCTAGCTGGAGGGAGTTCTCAGCAGCAGGGACTTGACCAACTCAGTGGGGAAGAAGGTGGCTGGCTAGACTCCACTATCCGGCAAGACAGAGACCAGCTGGAAAGAGTCATCTTGGAGCTTTGATGGAAGAAGAGAATTGGGCCTCTATAGCAGCTAATAAGGTCAGACTAGTCTCTCTGTAGAAAGACATTTTTCCTCGGGGCCTCTGCCATCTGGTGCATTCAGCAGTAAATGGGAAATCCTTATCTAAAACCATGTCTTTCAGAACACTTTCTGCCTGTATACACAGCCCTCTCTCCTTGTCCCCTAATAATTTGACACTGTTTCTGACCCAGGGCCAGAATTGTTATCTGCTGGCCCTCACACTTTATCCAGGAGAAAAGGAGATGCTTGCAGAGCTGAGGGTGGGGCTGGAGGTGCCAACCAACTGGCTTCTTGTCCCACAGCACAACCAGGCTCAGGGAGCAAGGGGGAGGGTGGGAGGCAAGGAAACCACACAACACAGGTCCAGTCATCTTCCAGGCCCAGAGACACAGCCCTTTGCCAGAGTGAGCATCTCTGCCCACCCTTTAAAACTCAACACAGTCAATTACGGTTCTGAATATCACTTTACTGAATCGTTTAAAAATACGTATCTGCTTTTTGTGTTGTTCAGGAGCCTCACTGGTTTTTCACATGTTAAATTTTCACTAGTGTGTATAACTTTCCACAAAGATGGTCTCAGATTAAATCCTAATATGGCTAAAACAAGAAAGGGAAAGCAAACAGGTGCCGTGTATCACAGGGTAACTTAATTTCGTACGTGGGCCTGCTACTAGAGCAGTTGCTCTGTCTCTGCTGTAGATAGAACAGTGTCACCCCAAAGATGTCCCGTCCTAATTCCCAGAACCTGTGAGAATTTTACCTTATGTGGCTAGAGGGGCTTTGCAAATGTGATTCAGTTAAGGATCTTGGGGAAGGATGGGGATGGGGAAATTATCCAGATGGGGCCAATATAATCACAACAAACCCTATAAGAGGAAGGCAGGAGGGTCAGAGTCAGGGGAGATATGTATGACAATGGAAGCAGAAGTTGGAGATGTGGTACCATAAGCCGGCAGCCTCTAAAAGCTGGAGAAGGCAAGGAAATGGATTCTCCCCTAGAGACTCTGGAAGGAAGCATCCCAGCCAACACCTTGATTTTAGGCCACTGAGAACTTTTTTGGACTTCTGAGCTCCAGAACTGTCAAGAAAATGCATTTGTTGTATTAAGCCATTAAGTTTGTGGTAATTTTTTACAGCAGCAATAGGAAACCAATATACTATCCAAATCCAATTCATCAGCTACATGTACAAGGACCACAAAGATGAATAAGCTGTGGTCTCTGCCCTTATGGAGATGTATGCATTGTGTGGGAGAAGGGCAAGGGCATCTATAGACTAAGGTGCTTCTCAGCCTTGGCTGCCATTAGAATGGTGTGCGAGGAGGAGGAGATCTTAAAACTCCTGCTGTCTAGGTTGGACCTCAAACAAGTATATCCGAACCTCTGGCATTGGAACTTAGGCAACAGTAGTTCTGATTGTGTTCCAGGTGATTCCAATGTGCAGCCAAGTTTGAGAACTGCAGCCTAAAGCACACTCAGCCAGGGATCTAGAGCAGCAGGTACAGGCTACGCCACAATCAAGATTAAGACTTTAATATTATCATTAACATTTGATATAATCATTAATGATACCACTTACCTGGAGCACACTAACTCTGAAATTCTGCATTTCAGTCCTTGATCTGCCTCTTTCTCCTGGAGTCACAGGTTGCCCTCCCACTTCTACATTTCCCACCCTGAATTCCAAAGTAGTGCTGCTCCTGTTAATAGCAGAGCATTTTAGAGCTGAATAGAACCTTAGCAATGAGCTTGGCCACTCTCCTCTCTATAGATGAGGTGGTAAGAGTGAAGAGAAACTTGACCAAGTGCATATGGGTGCAGTGGTAACATCTGGACTAACCCAATTTCCAACCTCAGTCTACTATGTAAATCTTTGCCACGAAATCCTTATAATACCCCACAATATCACCAATGGACCTCCTTTCATGATAAAGATGGAGATAAAGACATTTTTCTTTTTAGAATGACTTTTCATATTCTGGCTAGAATGAAGTCTTGCTGGAAACATTTAAAAGCTAGATACAGTTTTTAAAATAGCTGAGTCCAGCAAAAGGCATGTTTCTGAAGAGCTGTTGATCAAATTATATAAAATAATTTGTAAATGCCAGTGCCTTTATCCATATGTAAGGTGAATAATCACCTAAAAATTAAAATAGCTATATCCCCTGGGCTCCATGGAAAAATGGCTGATTCCAAGACTGGGGTAGGAAATATACAAGATAAGCCTAGAGCATCTGGTAGTACCAGAGAGTAAGGAAATGCTCAAAAACAGGCAAAAATAATAAAACCTCATATTGATGTGAGCATGCCAAAAGGACATCAACATAAAGTATGCAATTATTACCCCAAAATAAAATAAATATCCATGAGTCCCTACTGATATAAGTGACTTAATAAGTAAATAAATGGAGGATAAAAGACAAATCTCCCATGCAGAAGAATTCCAAATAATTTATGTAGATATTGCACTCTTAAAGTGGAGCATAACTCCCCACTCCTCACTGTGGGCTGCACATAGTAACTTCCTTCTAAAGGGTACAGTATGGAAAAGGGTAGGGGGACTAGCTTTACAATGGAGAAACCTAACAAATATTACCTCAGCCAGGTAATCAAGGTCATTATCAACAGAAAGAAACCATTGGTATATGATATGATGTGATGAAAATGGCACTTTTCTCTCTGTGGTCTTTCTCCCCAAACCCCATAACCACAGTACAACTGTGGAAAAACATCAGGAGAGTTCCAGCAGAGGGACATTCTACAAAATATCTGACCAGTACTCCTCAAAACTGTCAAAGTCCTCAAAACCAAGGAAATTCTAAAAAACTGTCACAGCCAACAAAAACCTAAGGAGACATGACAACTAAATGAAATTGCTAACTTGGATGGGATCCTGGAATACAAAAAGGGCATTAAGTAAAAACTAAGGAAATCTGAATAAAGTATGGACCTTAACGATAATGATAATGCCATTAATTTTAGCAAATATATACCCCATGCGAGATGTTAAAAATAAGAGAAACTGGATATGGGAGATATTGAGAACTGTCTGCACTACCTTCTCAATTTTTCTGAACTAAAAATGTTCTAAGAAATGAAAGCTATTAAAAAAAAAAAACAAAAAAAAACCCAGCCACCCCAACTCGTTAGTTCAGTAAATCCTTTCATTTATTCATTTATTTTTTTAATTTTATTTTTTTATGGTGACATTGGTTAATGGAATCCAATAAGTTTCAGCTGTACACTTTAACAGTAAAGTATATAGATATTTACAGTGTTCACTTCCCATAGTTAGATTTCTTTCTGTCACCACATATTTGACCCCCTTTACCCCATCTACTTCCCCCTAAATCCTATATCAGATTTCCTTAAATTGGGATCTCTTGCATGCAATTTTACAAACTTTAATCAGGGTGATATCTCCTTACACCAAAGCGTAAGGCAGAGGGTCTTAATATTGTTCGGGTGACAGCACGGGCAAGCAGCAGTGCTCTGTTGGTATACCCTATACAGTTGTGAAGTGTTAAATTATTTTTTAAACTTTAATACGCTATTACTGCTATCTAATTTACAGTCCATATTTAGCTTTTTCCCATTTATCCCGATAATGTATTTTATAACTGATTTCTTTTTTTGGGTCCAGGAGCCAGTCAAGGATTATGCATTTAGTGATCAAGTCTCCTTTAGCCTGGAAGAGTTTTGCATTTTCTTTCTTTTTGGTCTTTTAAGACACAGATTTTTTCAAAATTGTGGTAAAATACATATACCGCACAATTAACCATTTTAAACTGTACAATTTAGTGGCCTTAAGTGCATTCACATTTCTGTGCAACCATCACCACTATCAGGTTCCAAGATTTTTCATCCCAAATCGAAACCCTGTACCCATTCCCTCCACTCTTCTAACCCTAGCAACCACAAATAGGCTTTCTGTCTCTATGGTTTTGCCTATTCTGCACATTTCCTACAAATGGAATCATACAATATGTGGCTCTTTGGGTCTGAATTCTTTCACTTAGCATAATGTTTTCAAAATTCACCCATGTTGCAGCATGTATCAGTACTCCACTACTTTCTATGTCCTAATAATATTCCCTTGTATGGATATAACACAATTTGCTTATCCATTCATCCACTGATTGACATTTGGGTCATTTCCACCTTTTGGCTATTGTGAATAGTGTTGTCATAGATATCCCTGTATGAGATTTTTTTCTTTTTTTTCCCTGGGGTTTACCTGGTAGCCCACCGCACCACCCCACCCTGCCCCCAGGTCTAGGAGCTTGGTATCTGTAACCAAATTTATTCCTGAGGCCAAGCCCATGAGTCAGGGTGTTTGTATGGTAGCCTTTTGGGCCAGTGCCAGCCGTGGGTGGGCAGGCACAGAATTGGACATGGCTGCGGCCGTGTACAAGTTTTTGTTTAAATACCTGTTTTCAATTATTTTAGGTATACACCAAGGCGTAGAATTGCCAGGTCATCTGAGTAATTCTATGTTTAATTTTTTGAGGAGCTGCCAAACTGTTTTTCCACAGTCGCTGTACCATTTCTCATTCCCACCAGCAATGTATAAGGGTTCCAATTTTTCCACATTCTTGCCAACACTTGTTCTGACATTTTTTTTTTTGACACTGATATTTTTGCTAAGTCTAGGCCAGTTGTTTTGCAAAATATTCCTCAATTTGGATTTATCTGATTGTTTCTTTACGATCAGATTCATATGACACATTTTTGACAGGAATATTACACAGATATTGTGTCGTCCTCAGGGTGTCATGTGAGGAAGCACAACATGTTAATAACTATCATAGAAATAAGGAACAATTTACGAACAGGTGATATGGCTGTTACACACATGTCTCTGCATCTCGTAAAATAATAATACAGGCACTACTCTAAATAGTTCCTTAGTTTTCCATAATATTTGGTTGCTGTTTGTCCTCTTCCCTTTGCTTTCAGCTAGTACTTGCTGGCAGATAAGCAGCCACAGGTACTAATGTTCACGGGAGAAAAATGAAAATGAAGACAATTTTCTCCATTATCTTGACTTTCTTTTTCTTGCAAATTGGGAAAAGACAGCCATGATTTGATGTTTGTGAGAACCAACCTCATTCTAGCTCCCAGGGCACTACTTCAGAGCCATCGGTGCTAGGAGAGGAAAGGTAATAGTGCCCCAAGTCGAGACTCTGAACAAGAGTTCTTCTCCTGGCTCTAATGCCCAAATGCCAATAATTACAGCAGATTAACTCTTGGAGTTATTTCCACTGGATTGTACCTTAAGACCAAGGTGGTGTGTCAAGCCCTGAGGAGTGGACCTAGGGGAAGCCCTAGGAGATAACAGTGGGGTCTCTGATCCTATGCTATATATGAAACTTCTCTGTAAACTGTAAAACAGAAAGATATCAATTATCATCTCCCTCTGGCTAACAGTAGGAATGTGAGCAAAGGGGGTTCAAGGCTGAAGAAAGTCAGGCTCAAGGTTAGCTCTTATCTAAACTCAATCCCCGTCCACTTGCCACTTGTCAGAAGAAGCACTCACCCTAGCTCTCCAAGTCTATCCCCAACAGGTGACCTCTAGGAGGCAGCCATCCTCTCCAGAATCTAACAATAGTAACAGCTACCTTTTGTTGAGCGCTAAGGGCCAGGTGCTAGCCTAAACACTTTATATACACTATTTCATTGAATTCTGACCACAACTCCAAGTGGGTTTTAGTATCTCCATTTTACAGAACTGATGCTGGGAGAATTCAAGTAACTTTCCCTGGTTCATTCAGTTAGTGAGTGGCTGAAGTGGGACTGGAACTAGGCCCATGTGTCTCCAGAGCCTACGACCTCAATCACATGGCTGCCTTCCTCTCTCTGCCTCACAGCAACCCCAAGACTCGTGCATTTACCTCAGGACATATGAGTTGCGAAGAAACTGTCTACGGTTCTTTGGGGGAAGCAGTTGGTAATCTCCGAACTGGGTGGGGTTCAGGCAGGGGTTAGTAAGATAGCACCAAGAGGTGATGGTGCCAGCAGGGAAGTCCCTGGAACAGTGCCCGGAAAGGATAAGACAGGGCATCACCACACAGGGCTTACCAGCCCCCGAGAGAGAGCCCTGGCCTTGACTGTCTTCAGCATTCTGAAGTCTCATCGGGGCGAAGTGGGTAGAGCTGTCTCAGAGTCCCCACCTCCACTTTGGAATGTCTTTCCCTCTTCTTTTGAAGGTGGTGGTACAGGACAGCTGAGATCAGAGTGATCGATTCCCTGTGTGGTAATCAAAACACTGTCCCTACCCAGAGGGATGATGAAGAGGGAGGAGTCTGCACCTTGGGTTTCTCAGTGCCATCTGTCCTCATTTCTGGATAAAGTCAAGGAAATCATAGCCTGCTCGACATACAGCTGGGCCTCCTCTCCCACCCAGGATCTGCACACTGGTCCTTCTGTGGTCATCCTGGCACTGTCGTTCCTGTGTTTCTGATCTGAGGTGGCAACTCTCCGTGTGAAACTGGCACTTGGCTTTCTCCCTCTGGACTGGATGGATGGAATTGTCCTGCTGGAGTGGAGGAGTGCACAGGAAGCTTTCCTTTCTGGCGTCTGGGGCCAGGCCATTAGCTTCTTTCTTAGCCCATGGCTGGTTTTGGTTTTCCAAGGTTACAAATGAGCAAGGGAAGTCCACAAGGGTCACAGTAGTCCAAATACTCAAACCCACGGTCCTAGAGTGACCAGCTTGATGCATCACCTGCTACCAAAACCCCGAGAAGTACCACATGCTTTCTTTTATTCTTTTCAAAGGCTGCTTGAAGTTTTTGATGGTGTCCTTGGTACAAGGTAAACAGAGCTATTAGGCGAGTTAAGAAGGCATGTATGTGACCTAATAGCAAAGGGTGTGGTCCTTGTCTTCATTTCTGGTGGTTTTTTTTTTTTTTTAAATGAATGTGACTATTTCACTTATTGCAGCCTGCCTAGCCTGCAGGGAAGGGAGTGAAAATGAAGGAGATGGGTTCTGCCTCCTAGTGTATTTAGGGGTGTGTGTGTGTGTGTGTGTGTGTGTGTGTGGTGGGGGTTGTTAGATGGTGGGAAGGGCCCCTGCCACTCAGAAGGGGTTTTTGCCAGGCTTGATACCTGTTCATTTCCTCACGGCTTCTAAGCCAGCTTACAACAGATGGTGCTGCAGGTGGCGTGGGGGCATTCTGAGTGCTCTGGGGACTCCAACACACTGGCCCTGGATGGGAGAGCAAATTTCTTGAGGAAGATACCTCACCAGAGGACTGAATCAGCCTAGGGAAGACCTGAATGGGGGTCCACGTGTGCTGGAGTAAAAGTGAAAAAATCTGGGTGCTGTAGATAGTAATTATGCTTGGCTCTGAGGGAGATTCTGGAGAGGATGGCTGCCATTTTTTCTGACTAGGCTTGAGAGGACCACAGTACCCACTGTAGTGGAGAACACAGTTGGATACTCACCACCAGGAATGCTCGAGGACTTAACGTTCTGCTGCATGTTGACGGACTAGTGTACACGAGGGATGGAGGAAGAACATTGTGACTCCACCCTGTAGGATCTGCTCTCTCATTCATCATCCAGTAAACATTCAATAAGTACCAAACATACCTGGGCAGTGAGAATCCAAAATAAGGCAGTCTCTACCCTCAGAAGCCTGAAGTCTGGGGTGGGGGGAGATATAAATAAACACAAAATTGAGGCACAGGTAAGAGTTATGACAATTAAAGTATGTACAAGGTGCCATGGGATCCCTAAAGCTTTGCCACCAAGGAAGCCTAGGCTGAGACACAGCTGGAGGGCCAAGCTTCTGGGCTCTGCCTGACTCAAAAGTCACCCTAACTGCTGCCTTGAGTGGGAAAAGGACCAGCAAGGGAGGAAGTGGCTGCTGTGAGCAGCACTGATAATGTTCCTGCCAACACATGCCCAAGGCTGATAAAGGATGTATTTTCCCTCTGAACAGAGCTGTCCAATACAGAGAGGTGAGGAGAGCCAGCAATTCCTTAACTGAAAGATTGAAATACAAATTTTGGGATCTTGGGGCAACTACTCCAAGCCATGGGATCCTAAGGATCAGTAACTCGGCAGCATGATTCTAGGGAGAAAATCAGAAGTCCCAGGTAAAAAGGAAAGTGAGATTTAAAACATAAAAGAGGAGTAATTGGTTATGGTCCCAAAGGAGCTTTCTGAGTCAGGCTCCAAATGCCCCAAGGGTCAGAGCTCCTAGAGCAGCAGGAGAGGTAGCCACCGCCACCAATGACTATGAGCCCAGATGATGCTGGCTACCTTCCCAATGTGTTCCAGGCACAGACAAAACATCAGCTATACACAGCTCTCCCAGCAGCTGGCCAAAACATGCATGCTGCCTGGAAGAAGAGTGAGCCGACAGTCCCGACCATGGGTGCCTCCTGGGCAGAAGAAGAGAATTTGATTAGGATGAAGAAAGCCTGCAACAAAGAAAACTCAGCATCCAGTCCCTGAAGGGGAGATGGGAAGGAAGATGACCTTGATTTGGAGAAGCAGCCCTTCATCCCCAGCTGCACTTGTGTGGACTGTAACTCTGCAGCTCTGGGCCTGGGGGAGAAGTGATACTCAGGAACACCTGAAAAGTCCCCTGGGAAGGTCAATGTCCTAGGATACCAGGACACAGAGAGATGCATCCTTAGATCCAACTCCAGGTCTTGAAGAAAGAAAATAGTCCCTAAAATGATGCATTCATCTTTAAATAGTTCACAGAGTCAGAAAACTGTTCTTTAGAGGAGAAAGATTAAGGACAGAGAGACAGATACATTGGCTTTGGGTCACACAGTAAGTTGGTGCCAGAAAGAAACTGGGCCTCTTGTCCTTCTGTGTGCTATTTCTAGGGCCTCTGGCTTTTTATGAGTCTAAAGTAGGGCCAAGAAGGGGCTCTTCTCTAATTTCGGGTGGTGCCAGCTTGGTTGGGCAGGTCCTCTGACCGCGAATGTAGCATTTTTACCAAGGTAAATGGATTTATGCAGCCAAATCCTCTCTCTGGCTGCAGACTCCCAAAGTCATTTGTCTGGTAAAAGGGGAGGTGAGGTGAAGTGGGAAGTCCAAGAAAATGACCATGAATACAAGTGCAACAGATGTGCACAGCTGTTGTCACTAAGGAGTGCAGATAAGGGTGCCATGCCAAAGGCTGCAAAGGAGATTCAGTCCTGGCTGATAGAGGAAGTCAGCCTGAGGATCTAAGGTTTCTGAGAGGCTAGTGCTAGCTCTGAGGATGGCATGTCATCAGCCCAGCACACTCAGTGAGCATGTGGGAGGGTTCACCGGGACTTGCCTTTAGGTGGAGAGTTCCCCTTAGGACATCCCCCATCCCTGGCAGAGTGGTGAGATTTTCTTCTGTTCTTCCCTAACCTCCAGCTAAAGCAGAACCTAGACCACGGGAACTTGAGT